CTATTCACAAACCGCCAATACCCTATGCATTTTAATAAACTTTTTCTCCTAATGATGAGCACATTTCACAGATTTCCATGAACTTCTCAAACCAATGACGTTTTTTCTATTCACATAGAGGAACACAACGTATTTTCAATAAAATGAGAATTGTTTATTGCACTTAAACAATCTCAATTTAAAGAAAATGGAAAACAAACATATAACATAACAAAATCACTTTATAATGAATTCTAAGGAAAATGAATCAACTTATGGGGCTAAGAAGTCCAAAATCCTTAAAATCAATGAACACAAGCACAACAAAGAAACACGTATGAATTCGGGGCTAAAATAACTTCAACAAAAACCGAATTCTACATAAAACCTACTTATGAATTTGAAACAATTCAACCAATTTAACAACAACTTGTGCAATGATTGAAGTAAATAAGAAAGAATCAATTCTCATTCATAAGGGATTATATATAAACATTTAAAACAAGAACATACAGCCAAAAGAACACCAACCGTTATATTTTTTTTCAGATTCTAATACATGAACAAGTAACAAAAAAAATGATATATTGGGAAAAAAACAACACTTGAACATAGAAACAACAAAAGAATTGAAAATTTAAAGGGTTGACTTCCGGATTAAGTCCGGAAGCCAATTTATTTGGGTACCTATAGAAGAAGAAGATGAAGAAATTGAAGAATGGAGCTCTCTGGTTCGTTCCCCCCTCATCTTGAAACTGCAATTCCGTGCTCAATTTATAGACCAGAGGTTTTCTTCCCGTTGATTTGAGAGAGTAGCGTAGAAGAAACCGTTGCTTACTTGGTCAAAAGCGGAGGGTATGGCCGAACGTTAGAGCATTTGTTGTGAGAATTGAAGTCGCCGTTCAGTTACACATCGATTTTGAAAGGATTTGAATGATTCACCGCTGATTTCTTGCTTCAATCTGAGACTTGGTTGCAATTCGACTTCACCGCTTCTTTGCTGCTGCGTTGTGCCCTGTTGACCGAGATGCTGGTTTTTTAAGGTTTGGGATTTGGCCCAAACACAATCTTCTTTTTAAACTTGAGTTTCCATTTGGCTTTTTGCTGCAATTTATTCCAAAACAAATAGGATATCTGGTAACTTGGGTTAGGAAAAATAAAAATATTAAAATAATAACATGTAAAAAAAAGATTAAAAACAACTATTTTTGAATGGAAATAAAAGGTTTGTAATAATAGGAATTAAAATAAAACTAAGCTAAACAAATGAAAATTAAACAATAAAAGTACTAAAAATGCCAAAAAGAGAATTAAAAATATTAACCCAAACTCGAGTTATCAGTCCTGTTCTCTCTCATTCATATCTCCGTTCAGCTGAATGCGCGCCTCACGACTCATTCGCCCATCGTCATGACCTGAACCAAAACCCCCCTCAGTAACTTCACTGTTCTCTCTTTTCCTTAGTTCCTTTCCACTCCAGGCCAACACAACTGGATATGTCCTAGGAACCGTCCTTGAAAAATCAGACACACGATCTACGTAGAACACCTGCAAAATGTTTTTTTCATAAGCATGTTAGAATGTAAATAATGCACTATAAACAGTATTATAAATCATACCAGTAGAAACAACAGTGGACCACTGAATAACTGCTTCTTTTTTTTCTCCCACTTCAACTTGTTCTCTATGAGCTTGTCAAGGACATATTGACACCAATCTAGCCTTGGAACTCTTCCAACATCTCTCAAATTGTCCATCACCAATGCATTCACATAACCGTGTGATGTGCTATCCACAAGCACCGACACAATTAGCATTACAAAATGCCTCACAAACCACTCTCCTCCCTCTGTGCACTCCAACATCTTCTCTACAACATCATTCGGAGTGATCTTAATACCCGTCGTATCAAACTTAAGTCTCCACTCATTCAACAGTGACTTGTCCTTGTTGCGCTTGTTATTCTGAACCCGCTCTCCCCCCACCGGCCAGCCCAATACGGTATTAACATCTTCGGCAGTTATGTGCATCTTCGTACTGTCCGGAAGTTTTAAGCAGCTGCTCCTCGCATCATAGTTACTTACAACCCAAAGACCCAATCTTGATGGCAACTCCCAAATATCAAGCCTTAAAACTGATCCAAACCCAATTCTTTCAACCTCAGCACGCTGAACAACATTCATCCTTTGTATTGCTTTCATCAATACATGCGGTGTGGACCTTGTCTTCAACGACCCATATGGTGCCTTGATATCCACCAACTTCCTCTTTCCAGCCCTCGCTTTTTTTTCCCCACCATCTCTGTCCCGGTCACCTGTAATCGCTCCTTTCCCTTCTTCATAGTCTTAATT